TTTTTTTTTACCGACCTCAAAAAAAGTTATCGTGCGATTAATTGATTTATTGACTATCGCGACAGGCCTACATGAGTGTTATCAGAGCGGGGGTCTTGGATGAAAACATTAGGTCTCTCTCTGGCCGTGCTAATTATCAACTGATCGCTCAGGTGTTACAGTATCACCATCCAGTTCTACTTCCTGTTGACTGGGTCTGATTGTCTTTGTGTCCCCTATCAGAACAGGGACGACCCAGACGAAGACAAACCGACTCCGGTGGGGACAGTTAAACCACCGGGACTGAAGCGTGGTCGTCCTCAGATCAGAACCACACCCACCGGACTGGCTGGACCCGCTGGACGCAGCGTCCTCAGAACCACCAGCTGTGAGAGACAGTCTAATGGGAAAAACAAGATGGAGTCCAACATGGCCAACGGAGAYGGTAAGAGACGGACCGGTCCACTGTCCGCGGGGGTTCTGATGTCAAACTGTCTTCTTTATGACTCCTCCTCCTCYTCTGCAGACACGCCCCGCAGGAGAACCAGGAGGACCTCTGGAATGTACGAATCAGATCGGGTGTCCAACGGTAAGAACTCGTCCACTTCCTGTTTCCTGCTGAACTGGGCGTGTCTAACTCCTCCCCCTCTGCAGAGGATTCTGGGAACTCGTCAGACAACAGCGAATCAGACGACGAAACGGAGAAGATGGACAAGCTGTCACCCTGGCATGAGATGTCCGAAGCTCCGCCTAGTCATCCTGAGGAGGAGGAGCCAGAGGAGGAGGAGACAATGAAGGAGGAGCCTGAAGTCACGGTTACCATAGCAGCAGCTGCTGGCGTCTCTGAATGTCCCAGCATGCTTCAGGAGAGCGCCGAGGCAGTACTGAGCCAATCAGAAGAGCAGGGGGCGGAGCCRCACCTGGACAGAGTCACGTCTGTCCCAGACAGGAACAAGATGTCACCTGGACAGGAAGTCGTCAGCCAGACGTCCCCCAACAGGACGCCCCCCCAGCTTCAAGTGTCCTCGTCCCCCAGCACCGCAGAGGACCACCCTCCTCCTCTGTCCTCCCCCAGGGTCAAAGGTCGCCGAGCCATCCTGAGGGAGGCGGGCTCCGAAACTCCGCCCACAATCCCCCTCTGCAGCACCAGCCCCGCCCCCAGCCCCCCCCAGTCAGCCGTGCTGTCGTCATCAGGACAGCCCATGGTGGTCCTCCAGTTCCTCTCCTCCCAGCACCTCCCACCCAAGTCTCCCTCTGCCAACTCTGACACTGACTCCGCCTCCGAGGAGGAGGAGCCGCCGAGCCCTCAGAAGAAGCTGTGTCCTGACAGGAGACAGGAAGACGGCCCCTCCCCCTCCAAACCTCCCCCCTCCTCCCCGCTGCGGCCCGACAGGAGGAGCAACGGGAGCCAGAGGACTGAGGAGGAGGCCCCCCATCCTGAGGAGGCGCAGAACAAGCCGACACAGGAGCTCCTGGTGTGCGGAGCTAACGAGCAAGCAGAGGTGCGTGCTGGGACTCCTCCCCYGGCTGCAGAAGACCCCGCCCCCTGCGAGGAGGCGGAGCCACAGATGGGCCCCGAGGCCCTGGTTTGTCACGAGGTGGACCTGGACGACCCGGACGAGAAGGAGAAGCCCGCCTCCTCAGCAGAACACCTCCTCCTGATGGTGAGGGAGGAGCAGCAGGTTCTGCCCCCCCTCCCCCTGGTGGTCCACTCCTCCCTCCCCCCCCAGATCCAGGCCAGGCCCTTCCTGATAGCTGCCAACCCCGCCCCCTGCTCGGAGGAGCTGGGCCTGGTCCCCGCGGGGGAGCAGAGGGGAGACTCCAGTCCTGGGTTTGAGGGCAGCACCTCCTCGTCCTCCACCTGCCTGCTGTCTCTGCAGGACAGCAAAGACCGAGGTAAGGACAGGAGGGACARCTCGTCCCTCTGACAGGCTTCACCTCTACACAATCTGAAGGTTAGAAAAAACTGGTTTTTATTCAAGGTCTTAATTTTTTAAATTTCAATGTTTCCAGAGAAAAGTTTCTGCAGAAATAAACAGAGTAAAGCTTCGAAATCAGAACTGCACTACAAAAACTGTCCATCTTACCAAGTTTTAAACTCTTATATCAGACAAAAAGTCTTTTTGATCTTGTTTTCAGACT